TTTTTAACGTCTATATGAGATTGAGTACAACACGCGTAAAGCAAAAGGCCTCTGTTTCCGTTGTGACGAACACTACACCGTTGGCCATCGGTGCAAAAATCACAAGCTGCGAGTTCTTCTAGCGCACGACGATGATCCCAAACACATGGATGTGGATGGGGGAGCAACGGTGGAACCAGAAGCAGTCGAGGAGGTGGGCGAAGTAGTCGAGCTATCCCTCAACACGGTGGTAGGGTTTTCTACGCCGGGAACAATGAAGCTGCGAGGCGAGATCGGCCAGTCGGGGGTAGTGGTCCTAGTTGATTGTGGGGTAACGCACAACTTTATCTCTCAAAAACTCGTAGAAGCCTTGAAGCTACCAACAGTGGAAACCTCCAACTACGGGGTCATTATGGGATTGGGAGTAGCCATGAAGGGAAAAGGTATCTGTAAGGGAGTAGTGTTAAAACTTCCTGAACTAACTGTTGTGGAAAATTTTCTTCCTTTGGAACTAGGTGGTATCGACGTGGTGTTGGGAATGCAATGACTGTGTACTCTGGGGTCGATGGAAGTCGATTGGGGCGCCCTAACGATGACATTCAAAGCGGGCGGTATGCGGGTGGTGCTCAAGGGTGATCCATCCCTGACAAAGGCAGAAGTATCCTTAAAACGATTAGCTCGTTCATCAGACATTCAAGACCAAGGGTTTCTGGTGGAATTTCGTGCGATTACTGGATACCTGATCTAGTCCTCTGATTCTATCCCTCCAGTGGCGATACCACACTCAATTGACAAATTGCTCACTGAGTACCAATCAGTATTCCAAATTCCAGAGGGCCTTCCTCCAAAAAGAGAAGTCGATCATCGAATCTTGCTCAATAAGGGTCAACCGCCAGTGAATGTACGACTGTACCGCTACCCGCGTGTTCAGAAAACCGAGATCGAACGTTTGATCAGAGAGATGTTGACGGCAGTAATCATCCGCCCCAGTGTGAGCCCATATTCCAGCCCAGTGTTGTTGTTCAAGAAGAAGGACGGGAGTTGGAGATTCTGCGTGGATTACAGGGCGTTAAATAACGCGACGGTGCCGGACAAATTCCCAATTCCAGTGGTTGAAGAATTATTAGACGAACTCCACGGATCGTCCATCTATTCAAAAATTGACCTCAAATCGGGGTACCACCAAATCTGAGTACACGAGTAGGACGTGGAAAAAACGGTTTTCTGGACTCACGATGGTCATTACGAATTTCTAGTAATGCCCTTTGGCCTCACCAACGCCCCGGCTATATTCCAAGCACTGATGAATCGGATTTTTCGGCCCTTCTTGAGGAGGTTTTTATTGGTATTTTTTGATGATATTCTGATCTACAGCCCGGACCTAGACTCTCATGCTACCCACCTAGCGGTAGTCCTCAATATATTGCAGGAGCACTCATTGTATGCCAACATGAAGAAATGTCAATTTGCCCGGGAGAGAATCGAGTATTTGGGGCATTGGGTTTCAGCCAAGGGTGTAGAGGCTGACCCCGAGAAGGTGCGGGCCATGATCCAATGGCCGACGCCGTCGAATCTTCGAGAACTCAGGGGATTCCTTGGTCTCACGGGCTACTATCACCGATTTGTGGAGAATTACGGTGCCATTGTCGCCCCCTTTACCCAACTCTTGAAGAATGACTCCTATGCTTGGTCTGACGCTGCAACAAAAGCGTTCGAACATTTCTATCCCTACCCGATTTCAGTCAGTCTTTTGTGGTCGAGACAGACGCCTCCGGAACGGGCTTAGGGGCAATGTTATCCCAGGAACAGCGGCCGATTGCTTTCTTCAGCCATGCCTTGTCCTCAGCCCACCAACAGAAATCGGTGTATGAACATGAGCCGATGGCCATTGTCCTCGCTGTGCAACGTTGGAGGCCCTTGTTCGTTGCAGCAAGGGAAGCTTATGTATAAAGGACGTCTGGTCCTCACCCAGAATTCCCCACTCATTAAGGCTGCCCTTCATACTTACCATGATTCGGTATTCGATGAACACTCGGGTTTTCTAAGAACCTTAAACGGCTGACCAGTGATTTGTATTGGCAGGGTATGAAATAGGATGTGAAGATGTACGTCGAGCAGTGTGACGTGTGCCAGCGGAACAAATCGCTCACCACATCACCGGCTGGTTTGCTGCAACCCCTCCCGCGGCCCGATCGAATATGGGAAGACATCTCTATGGATTTCAATGAAGGCCTCCCAAAATCAGCGTCTAATGATGTGATCTTTGTGGTAGTGGACCGGCTGAGTAAATATGTCCAGTTCATACTGGTTTGTCACCCCTTTTCGGCTAAGACCATCGCAACCTCCTTCGTGAAAGAAGTGGTTCGTCTTCATGGCTTTCCGCGTTCGATAGTGTCTGACCATGACAAAATTTTCTCGAGTCATTTCTGGATGGAACTATTCCGCCTACAAGACACCCAGCTTCACCAGAGCACCACCTACCATCATCAGACGGACGGCCAAACCGAGATCGTCAACAAATGTGTCAAAATGTATCTACGCTATTTTTGCTCGGAAAAGGTATGGCATGGAGTAGTTGGCTGGCATGGGCAGAATATTGGTACAATACTACGTACCACATCTCGATCAACACCACCCCATTCCACGTCGTTTACGGCTGCGCCCCTCCCGCCCTGATTTTTTATGGTGATCAAAGGACTGCCAACGCCACCCTAGACCAGCAATTGGCTGAGCGATATCAAGCCCTCCAGTGTTTGAAAAACCATCTGGCCGATGCTCAAAACCGAATGAGAAGTTTGCCGACCGCCGCCGTAGCCATGTGGAATTCGCAGTGGGAGACCACGTCTACCTCATGCTCTGCCCATACCATCAGTTGTCCCTTGCAAAGAAGCATTGTGAGAAGTTAACCCCGAAGTACTTTGGCCCCTATAAAGTGCTGGACCGTGTGGGCTCCGTTGCCTACAAATTGGAATTGCCAGCCGACGCCACCATTCACCCAGTTTTCCACGTATCACAGCTGAAACGTGCAGTGGGAGAACAGCACAGCATCCAAACCCACCCCCCGACCTTTTCTGAAAATTACGAGTGGGTGGCAGTTGGACGTTATGGGCATCCGTCGGAATGCTGACACCGGCGATTGGGAGCTCCTTGTGGAGTGGAAAGACTTATCGGAACACGAAGCCACTTGGGAAACCATAGCCACCATCCGCCAGCAATTTCCACACTTTCACCTTGAGGACAAGGTGTCTTTCTCCCCCTGGTGATGTGAGGCCCCTTCTATGTTAGGAAGGGCAAAGGGGTAAATTCCCCTTGTTTGTTTGGCAAGTCTTTTGTAGGGGGTAGTACTTATGCAAGGGGTCTATCTTAGAAATGGTATGTTTTGTCTTGGTAGGAGAGCTCCCAACCCTCTCTAACGGTTGGGCCCCATTGTAAGCCTTAGGGCTCTTGTTTGTTCTTGTTTTGAATATCAGTGAGTAAGGAGATATCTTACATCTTGCGTATTATTCTTCCTCTTATTTATTTGTTTATTTATTTTTCATTTTTCTGAATGAAAAGTTCGATTTCTCATTAAAAAGAGACTTTCGATCAAACTCTTCTTCTCAACTTTTATCCTTGATGATTAGATCAAAATTGGCCAATTTAGAAGACTAATTGAAACATGCTTAAGAGTGAAGATAGTCTGTATCTAGTTTTACCTGATTGCACTGAATTTATTGGTAACTTTCGGAATCTCAGCTGACTTTTCTTGCAAGGACAAGCCTGTTAAGTTTATTGCTGAGATCTGATTCCAAGCCTTTTCATGCTTTGCAATTACAGATGAAAGAAGAATGAAAATAGTGGAGATGGGTGGAGCTCAAGAGCTCTTAAACATGTTGGGGGCTGCCAAAGACGATCGCACACGTAAGGAAGCTTTGAAGGCTTTACATGCCATCTCACATTCAGGTTCGAATTCTAATCATACCGGTATTACTTTAATTTATTGTTTACGCTTTAATCTTCCCTACGAACGACAAGTTTTTTGCGTAGGAGTTCAATGCATAAATATGAATAGCACTTCTGGATTTGTGATGTTGGGTCTATTGCTGAGTTCTGATATTGGAATTAACACAATGATTTTGCATTTCCTCTTACGTTTAGAAACTGCGACAATGTAGATGGTTCTCTGCATCCATTTCAAAATGTTCATTTTCGTATTTAGTTTTTTATATATTTTTTCAGATGAAGCTGTTGGTGCTCTGCATAAAGCAGGGGCAATCTTGGTTATCAAATCTGCACCGAATTCAGTTGAAGATGTGAAAGTGAACGAGTACAAGTCGAACCTAATGAAGAGATTTGAAGATCTTAGGTATGATGTCTCATCTTGACAGGTAAGAGTTTTGTTTATTTCATTTGTTGTTTGGTGTGGGGTATCAAGAAAGAAGCCATGAAACCTCTAAAGATACACAAGGATTATGATATGAAGCCGTACTTTAGAAGGGTATGAACTGCATTCGCTTCAGATGAGTGGTGGAAATTCACAACGGCATCCCTCACGACATAAGATTGAATGATCCAAACCTTCCTCTTCGGAGTGGAAACGGACGGGATTTGTACATCTTATAAGTCTGTTTTACATTCTTGGAAACGGGTTTTCTCATGTCTAGATACTTGATAAGTGGTCATATTGTCTTCGCAAGTACCGCTCCTGCTTAACAATGGGGGATTGCTGGAGAGGTCATGGAAAGGACTGAGATGCTGAAACTAGTTTTGTTATGCTCTTAGGAATAAAATTGATGCATCACCCTTTTGCTCATGTTTTCATATTTGATTTTCAGATTTAAGCGTCCCCCCCACTCTTTTTGCATTTTCTGATGTAATTTTCAGACCTAAAATTTAAATAACCTTACACTATATTTGCAATAATTTTCTCAAGAACAAATACAAAACTTAAAAAATCCACTCACAATTTAACATTGCATCTTTCAAATATTCAAAACAGAACTTTTTTTTTTTTTAGTTCAAATCAACCTGCCTTATCCATGAGAGACTCAGGATCGACATACAAAACTGAAGTTTAAAATGGCAAAAAAAAAAAATTAGTGTTTACAAACTATACAACCAATCGTCGACTCTAGAACACAGAGAATTGGAACTTTCGAAATAATTAATGATAATGATATCTAAGACTTTTTAATGCATTGTGGATATTCCATTCACATCACTACATGCTCGAAGAAATTTTAGTTAAAAATCAATTCAAAAGCTTAAAGTTGATACATTGTTATGTGTAAATTTGATCGTTTTTAGTATATTCTCGACAATCACATGTGATTATAGAATGAGTATTAACATCACAATGGAATGAAAATAACATAAAGAGGCAATTTGAGTGTGTTTTTATTTGCTAAAAATTGTTTGAAAAGATGTCGTTTACTTGTGTTTCCATTTATTTTTTTTTTTTCTTTCAACGAATTTGGAAATATAATACATTTAAATTGAGTTCAACTAGAAAATTATGATGTTGATAAATTAGCAGTAAACAAAACAAAAGGAAATAAGGAAATAACAAAATATTATTTCCATTTACTATACCTTTTCTATTTTGAAAACGATTCTTAAAAATCATCCAACTAAACAAGTTATCAACCTAAAAATGAGACTTAAAAAGCTTGTGCTAATAGATCTAAATGTTCTCAACATTCTCCCTTGATTTTTGATTTGTGTATCAAACACAAAGACCCAACACAAACAGCAATTTAAAAAGTGAATAGAATAAGAAGAACATATTGATATTTTAACTAGTTAAACTATGTCCACATTAAAGATGCGATTGGAAGTGATTTTGACATGACCAAAATTACTTTTGTAACTGTCAAAAGCACTTCTCTAAAATGTTTGACAAATTAAAAAAATTAATTTTAGAACGACTTAAAATCATTTAAAATTGATTTTCAATCATTTGAATGGTGATTTCGAAAAATTAATTATATTTAAATCTCTTTTCAAAATCACTAGTTCTACTATCATCTCCAAACATATCTTAATTTTAATTATGTTTATTAGCATTGGGCATGAAAACCCATTTAACGGGTTTCCGGCTAAATAGTCTTTTTGAGAGGGCCATTATGAAATGTAGTCCTCTTCATTTTTTCGTTTGGTAAACATTTGCTGACATCATCCAATAAACCAAATGACCATGATGCCTCTCCACTACTGAACATCACAAGCGTAAAGTAGATCTTGTGGTTTTTTCCTCTCGCTTTTTCTGTTTTTTTTTTCACAGTCATTTCTCATTTGATTTTTTATTCAATTTTTTGTTTCCCAACAAAATAAAAAATGCATACACACAAGAACAGATCCATTCGGTTTTGTCTCAAAAAATCATAAACGCATATACATAAGTTTTAAGAGCATATTTGAAAATAAGCACAGAAAAAGTTACGGTCTCGCTCTAGCTCTGGCTAAAGCTCTCGCTCTCACTCTCGCTCACCCCATATTTCATAAATGTATGGATTTAATTTAAAAAGAAAATCAAAATTTCATGAATCTTGTGTCAAGATTGCATATGTTTAACTTTAAAAGAGGATCAAAATTATGTAAATGTCAAGATAATTACGTAAATTCTAGGCGCTCTCGCTCTCGTTCAACTTGAATCTGATTTCCGACGAAGGGGAGGTCTCGTTTGAAGAAGACATTATTATTCTTCTTCTCTCGCAAATTCTCGCTCCACTATTTCCTCCGATTGAATTTCAGCACCGCTTCAGATTCTCCATCCCACTACAATTTCTTCTTCCCTATCTCATTTCTCAAAAATCCCCACTACCTGTAATTCGAGATTCCCTTCGAATTCGGCCCATGAAGAAAAGAAAACAAGGCTCTTGTTCTTGTTTTTTGTTTGATTGGAGGTATGAGCAAAAATATGGCAGAAACTGAAAAATGTTCAGATTTGATTCAAATTGTCGGCGATGCGAGAGCTATATCGAGAGCTATAGCCAGAGCTATATCGAGAGCTATAGCGAGACCGCAACTTCTCTATGCTTACTCTTAAAACTTAAATATATAAAATCAAATGAAGAATGACTATAGAAAAAAACGGAAAAAAGCAAGAGAAAAAAACCACAAGATCTACTTTACGCTTGCGATATTCTTCGAATGACGGAAAAAGCAAGTCAGTTTCTTTCCTTTCTTCGTTGAAGATAGAGAAAGTTTGAGGAAGAAGGAAGAGAGAGAAGGAACACGAAGAGAGATGGGGAGAGAGGAAGAAGAAAGAGGAGAGAGAATCAGATTCAAATGAAAAAGAGGGAGGGAAACTAAAAATTTAACTCAAGTAGTGGAGGGACATCATGATCATTGGTTTATTGGATGATGTCAACAAATGTTTACAAAACATAAAAATGAGGAAAGAGGTCATATTTCATAGTCCTTTCAAAATGACCACTCAGCCCAATTTTCCATTTAATAACTCATCTGTACAGCTCTTCATGTAAATAGAGAATAAAAAGACTTGCAACAAAAATCCACAAATTCTATACAACCTGTGATAACATATTTGGTATAGTTATAAAATCAGTAGACCAAATGAAAATCCAACTCAAACCTCACATGTCAGAAAACTATTATTTTCTTGATCATATTAACTTGAAAGGTCTCAATGATCAATGATCATATTAACTTAAAAGATCTCAAGTTCAAATATTTTGGTGAGCTTAATACTAAAAATTTTGAAGTGGACACAAGTACCCCTTGATACAGGGAACACAGCTCCAACTCTCAATTATCAAAATATATATATATATATATATATATATATATATATATATATATATATATATATATATATATATATATCTATATATATATATATCACTAACATAATACATAAAATGTACATTAATCTATTCATATCAGTCCAGCCAGAACTAACCAAATAAAATTTTGACAAGACATAACTTGACCTCTCTAAAAGAAAGAAATGGGGCAATCTGTTCATATAAATCCAGCCAAAATTAACCAAATAAAATTCTGATAAAAGACATGTACATGTTTTTAATAAGCCAAAATTCTAATAAGACATGTAAATTTAAACTCGACCTCTCTAAAAGAAATAAAAGGGGCAATCATTATAGATGGTTGAGAGAGACAGAGAGGAAAGGCATTCTTCGAAGAAAGAGCAAGTTAAAAATTGAAAAAGATAAAATTACATCTTTTGAACTTCTTGGTTCCTATATTGTTCAATCTAGTTGCTTTAAACTAAAACCATCACCATCATCTCATCGAATTCGCCACTCGGTCTATCGAGTTCAACAATAAAACAAATTCATTCCTATTTCCTGTCAAACCAATCCGCAAAAAGAAGTATAACTGTGTAATAAAGTTATGGTGCTTGATTTGTAAAGCATAATGTGAAATTAACTAATCACTAACCTTCTGCTCTTGGCAGTAGGGGCAATTATTCCTCGTTTCTCTAAGCTCTTAAACCTGTCCTTCACAAGTGTGCAACAGCCCTACATTTATACAACATATACCAATCACAGTGTTCTTTTAGTTCACATCTAAAATTTAGAAACCACTATTTTGATGATATAAAGATGAAAAATTCAGGAATCATGTAGATGGGAGTTAAATGATTGCACCTTCAACTTGCGAAGCGACCCGGTTATTTCTTCGGATAGTAGGACTTGAACCAGAGCAGGCTCAAACCTGAAGGTAAGACCAGCAATTCCATTATTTTTAGTTCAATAGGGGATTGGAACTTTTGACCTTTAGAGAGTAAATAATGTCTTGACTAATTAAAAACTATCCCTGGCTTCATCTTCCAATTGAATACTAAAACAACAATTTAAAAGTTGTAATCTGAATTATATAAAAAAAATAATAATATTACATACTTGTGCTTCCCCAAGCGAGGTGGGCATGACTTTAATCTCTCCTGTTTGGCTATCGTTCGTCGGATATGTCTTTTTTGTTTCTCCTCGTCTTCTTTTGCTATTTCTTGAATGATATCTGGCAAGCTACATCCATAAGAGCAAAAGCTAGCTCAGTAGCATTAAACATTTCATAAGTATGGAGGAGACAAGATACTAATTTACCTGTCAATTTCTTTAGAAATTCCTGCCAACTTTTTTGCTTCAGCTTCCTTTCTGAGCTGTTYTTTTTGTCTAGCTCTCTTATTTAGTTCAACCCGAGTAACCCTCTTCATCTTCAAAGGCCTGCAACAAGCTTAGTCAAATTAAATAAAAGTAAACCAACTTGAAGTTCTCATTCTAAAAGTAATCATTTTATGAGTAATTATTATAATCCACAACACAAAAACATAAACACATCGAAAGTTCAGAGGTTCAAACTCTACCTAGAGACCGGTGATCACAATTTAAAATAAAATAAAAAGAGAGAGATAAAAAGAAAACTCATAGAAAATCAATCTTGCAATGGAAATCCTTAGATAATAATAACACTTAAATTGTATTATAATATGAGAAGAATTTTTCTTTTTATAAGAAATCAAGCATTCATTGAGATAAATGAAAAAATATATATATACAATGGCATAAAAAAACAACCCAACCACGAATAACACTTAAAACGATATGAGAAGAAAATTACAATATTAAACCTCAAGTACTCCGAGGACTGAGGTCTAGACTCTCCTAAATTCTGCCTATCCCTCATCTCCTCATCTCCCTCTCTTTATAGTTCAACAAACCCCTAACTACCATTATACAACTACTAATATCCTAATAATATTTCTAACTGTACTAATACTCTAATAAAAACTAGAATCTCAATGAAATAGAATTTCACACGCAAGTTGGGGGAAAGAAATCAAGGCTATACAATCAAAGTGCATATGTAAATTAGTTCAATCTCAATCCCAATAAAGGCATAATAGAAAAGAAAAGTAAATAAATAAAACACTTTGTTTCCACATGGCTAAAAATATCACCACTCCTGTTGTTGGAAAAGCAAATCAGGTATTAAATTTTAATAGATCCAAACAACGAAACAAATAGTGTTCACTTAAATATAGTGCAATCTATGCATAAGAGAACCAAGCAAATAATCCAGACTATTTGGAAAAGACAGTAATCTTCAAAATAATTTTGCTTCAACAAACGATACCTTTTTTCTGATTCATTATTTACATCCTGATCCATATTGTCCAAATTGGTGTCATCATCAGTATCATTATCAGCATCCAAAAATAACATCTACAAAACAGGAAGAGCAGGTGATCTCTTGAATCGAAAAGTAAAATATAAATTTCATATATTAAGGAAATTGTTCCAATAGAATTCAAGTTTATAGCCCAAAATACACACATCTTCTTCACTAATAACTTCTCCCTGGACTGTCAAAGGAACTGGCTCAGGCCCTAGCTCCTTTCGGTATGCTTTCTGCATTTCTTCTGCAACGGCACGGGCCAATATATCCTGAATTGATAAAATGGGAGGTTTAAGGGGGGGAAAACAGGATACAATGAATACTTTGAAGAGGAAAAACGCAATTCTAACCATTGATTATAAAAAATTTACCTGACACCACTTTTTAAACTTCTTTTACAAGAAACAAAGCTTAGAATTATTACAACTTACCTGATGACTTTCATGTGATGGATTGAACGAACATCCAGGGGGCTCAACTTCTACTGCTGGAATAATAGATGACTTTGGTTTCTGTCCAAGGTTAAATCAATATTACTTTGTTACGTTCCAGCAACTAAATCCATATTTTATCCTTTCTTTTGATATTTCTACTCCCCCCCTAAGGATAAGACTCTGATCTCATTGAACTTATGACATACATTTGATAAAATATAAGGCTCATAATTCATTAACGAGGTAGAGCAGAGTACCTTACTGATCTTGCTTCTATCTTCCCCTGCAGTAACACCAAAAACAAGTAGTGGAATGTTTGATTCCTATATTTTTCCATTAACAATGTTTGGAAGGGGAAAAAAAAATACCTTTATCATCCCATAGATCAAACACGCCAACCTTGGCATCATGTTGAGGGATTTCTTTAGCTTTGGAAGGCTCTTCAGATTTTTTCTTGGATTTATTATGTGTTGAAGAAGGCACAGGTTGGACAAACGGATTCTTTTTCAATATGCTGTCACAATAAAGTGTTTTTTCCCGTTTCTTTTCGATTTTCCGCTTCACAGAGAGATCTATACAGAGGGAAAAAAACGATAATAAGTGCAAAATTGACAACTCCTTCAACAAGACAGTAGTTCATAAGTAAATATAGATGTGTTTCCTCATCCGAAGATGGAACAAAGTTAAGATTGTATCAGGGCTACCTCTGGACTTGTCGACGACGAAAAGGGAATCGCTGGGAACGGCAGCGAGTGAGCCACCGGAGAGAGCATCCTTTGTGGACTTCTCAAAGAAATCCTCAACGTCTGCAGAGCTTATGTTTGCTCTCCATGCCTTCTTCCCCTTCCTAGAACTCTTTGATTTCTTCCCCATCGCTCTGAAATTGAAAAGTGAAGATTGAAGATTGACAGCCCTGGTGCAGCCCTTGCCCTAAGCAACTGCAGGTATTGTAATGTATACAATTTTTTGTTTTATATTTAAAATATTTTATACTAAAAAAATATCTCAAATAATATTTCCAAGAGCAAATTGCATAAACCACAGTCTAGTTGCTACCATTACACCCCTAAACTATGAATAGTAAAAATTAAACCTCAATTTTTATAAATAAAAAAATTATTATACTAAAAAAATAAAAAATTAGACCCCTAAACAAAAAAATCTTTGATATTTATTTTCGATCCTAAATCTAGTCTTTCTCTTATGTACCTTTTGCAATTGCAAACATTTTTGCTAGATCTAGCATCTCCGACAACATCGACTGCTCATGGCAGCAGATTCCGCCGCGTGCTTGTACGGGTATTCACGAGTTTGGTTTGATTGGATTAGTAGGTTTTTGAACCAACCTGAATTTTCGGGTTGGCCATATCAGAACCCAAAATTTTCGGTTGGATTGGGTTGTCGGGTTGCGCTTTTT